AGTTCTAAACTGAAGGAACTGAAACAAATTTTGAAGGGTTTGTATGGGATGCTATCAAACTTTGATCCCTTATATCTCTATTGGGAATTGCAATTTAGAGCTAATTTTTGGAATGAGGGCCTCTGTTAGGTTCCTCTATAAGAATATGACATCATATCCCATAATTTCAAAATTTTTATTTTTGTGACGTCATCACTTTAGGACTCTATTCCCTCAGACTAGACTTGACTGACACAGACAATTGCCATGGGCACTTGATTAACAGCAAGTCAGAGCATTTCACTGTTGAATCAACAATTTACTACTTTCTACCAAGTAGAACCCGGAATAGACGCTTCAACAATCCCATCTTCAAACAGCAAACAATTTGTGCCAAATACAAGCGAAAGATAACATTTTTCAACTGAAAATGAGCACGGTTCTAGCAAGCAACCTGCCAACACATGCTGGGACACAGAACTTTTGCTTGCAGAAAAAAGTGTAAACTGAATGTAAACCACATGTCATGGAAACTCTCCATTCTTCAAAAAAAAAGTAACTGCTAGAATGAATGATTTGTGCAGAATAGAAACATAGATATCATTTCATTTTCAAAGAGAGATCTAGTCAGAACTAATGAAGTCAATGAACATTTTACAAACAACTTGCCAACACGTGCCAATACACAGAACTTTTCCTATGCTTGAAGAAATATTAACTAGTCATGAGTAGCACGCCATATAAACTTTGATGTTAAACAATTTGTTCATCAAGGAAAGAGTATTTTACCATTTGAATGAACAATGTGTCAAATAGAACTAGAGGAACGTTTCAGACAATGAAGACCGATGAACTTTTCCTTGCAGTTTTATTCCTGTTCTCAAAATAAAACAATAATATTTGGTAAATGAAAACAATGTGTTAAAATAAGCGACTGTTTCAATTTTCTTCCCAATGTTTTGGCAGCCCAAGATCAAAAAAGTGTAAAAGTCTGTCAGTGAGTATGCACAGCAATCAAAAACTCAAAGTAGGATAGCTTTTATTGACATTTCCACATATATGTAAATTTCGCGTTTAAGCCTGGCACTTTTTCATTCCCAGAAATGTCCTTTGTTTGTCCAACAATGCTTCATATAAAGAAACTTATGGGAATCCACAACAAAGAGACATACCTGCGTGCATATATGTGTATGGCCATACATACATATGCAAAATACCTGCATATAAATTGCGTATGCGTAATTTGCTGCCTTACATCTGAGGCTGCACCGTAATACATACAATATGTACTTACTATGTCTCTGCATTAGAGCCTTACAACACTGCTGCACCTACACAAACAGTTTATAAATCTACATGTTCAATTCTCTTCAGTCTCCAGTGTTTAATTTCTATTAGTAGTAGCCACGACACAAACTCATTGCAGTCTGCAGTTCCTGGAACCAGCCTAAGTGACACCCTGCAGGACTCTCAGGTTAACTTTAAAACTTAGAAAGTCTTCAGGTTGTTTGAATTTCATATCACTTTCCCTTTTCTGCTCATTCAGTTTCAACACGTGTCAAAATTAGTTTGCCCTACATAATTAACCAAATGTTTACATGTCCAGAAAAATACTGGCAATCCACAAGTTATAAGCCTGTTGCAATAAATATCTGCCTTGATCAAGCCAAAATGTATTTCAAAACTCATTCATAGAAAGTGAAAACTTTTTGCATCCTACCCTAAGAGTACTAATAAGCAAATCAAGTGTTATGTATCCATTATCATCAATAATTCCACCTACAGGTACGCAGTTACTGAGTACATGACATAAACAACAAAACACAGTTTGAAAAAACGCAGTACATGTATCTTGACGGTGAATGTTCAGACACTGTGCTAATATTTCTTACTGAATTCAAACATAATTGTTTTGAAAATCTAATTAAATTACTTTCTAGTTCAACTAGAATTTTTGATTCCAATACAAACTTTATAGCCATAAATACAGTTCTTAATGTTTCCTAAATGATTTTTAATCATGTTGATGATCCCATGTTGCACATGCCCATTTACAAGACATTGTGTAAGAATGTACCCTTAATATATTTCAGACATAACAGGGAACTTAGAATCTTGTTGAACAATTCTGGTTGAATTATGCCAAGACCATACAAGAGAAATCAAAGCATAAAACATCAACAAATGTCACAATTTCACATTCTGCTTCTTGAAAAACCTGGTGAGCATATGGCTTAAACAGGTGATGAATTTTTTGTTTTTACTGGTTTTTCAGTGGAAGAAACTGTTTAGATCAAGTAACTAGCTACTGTTTGTTTTGTATTTGGCTGCTTTTTTTACTCATTGGTGTTACAGAGTTAAGTTAGGCTATATCGGTTAAACATATTGCCAGCACTTTGCAATAGAGAACCTGCTGGAGTTTTGTCAGGAGCCAGGTCTTAACATGTATGGACAACCTTGAGAAATTAAAGTGTACAAAGAAAAAAAGGTTTGGAAGGTTCCCATTTAAAACCAAAAGTTTAAAAATGTAAGTATTTGATTTTTATTTTGTGAGTTGGATTCCATTCTGTTTATTGAAACCAAGTGAGTTTGCTACAGTTCAATAACCAAAGGTTAGATTCCATGCCCTGGGTTTTATGAAAGATGCGGAAACTACATAGTATCTTTATTTCACAGGAAGAGAATAACATCATTACATGTCTTTTCTCTAAACCAACAAAACTTCAAATATGAAAGGAAAATACTAATATCACATGTGCTATGAAAATCAACAAAGTGAAATGTTGATGTGTAGCTGTCAAGAAAGTCATCAGCAGTTTCTTAATTGTTATTTATTCTGCACTGTTGGATTGAATGAAATTAATTAAACTTTGGATGAGGACACTCATGCACGCAAGTTAAGAATAAATATTACTTTTAATACAAAAGGTTTACCTTCTCCTTGGTGTTGATGCCACTGCAGCCATACTATTCCACTCTCTAAGCAGCCACCTTAACAGGAAGACAATAATTATTGTTCTTTCAATATTCATGATGCAACTACTAGGAATTTTTGGCTTTCAAATAACACAAAACGCCTCAAGGAAACTATTTATTGTACTTGGATATCCTGCTCAGTTGTAGAACACGCTCACGTCCTAATTTAAGAACCGTGAAAGCAAAGCTAGAGAAGAGAAATTTCCATTTTTCTGATGATAAACAAAGAAAACTGCCGTCTACAGAATGACATGTACACATCACAACAGGCAGCTAAGTGTACAGATGGCAATTGTTATTAATTATTTCTGGTAGGCGAAGATATATTTGCTAAATCTTCACACTTGCTATTAGAGAGAACTGTCAACTTCAGATTATTTAAATCGCTAGCTTACCTATGAATCAGAACTTCTTGTGTGGCTATAAGACTTTCGTACATCAAATACACCAGTCCTCTAACCCAGAATTCTCGCTCTTTAAAACTATGGGCTGGACGAACGAAATACAAATAACAACAGCAAGTAGGTTAATCTTCCATCTCAATCAAACTTTTTTTGCAAACTGTATATTCTATGGCATCGAATTAAGCTTATAAGCTCACTTACCGACTAGGCTCAACGTTTTCAGCTTGAATTCATTGCCGTAAAAAATGGCAAGACAGCAATTTGGATCTAGCCTGCGTGCTGTTTCGGGATTTCTATCAAAGTCCTTCGACCCTAACCCTCTCCGAACTTCCTTTATCTCTCGAATAAACACTGCAAACAACAACAGAATGAATGAACATATTAAAAGTACTAGAACCAGTGGAAGCTTACCTACGGAGCCTCCTGAAAATACATGGCATCAAAACAATGTTGTTTAAACATAGGGATTTGGTATTGGTAATACCTGAACCTTCCAGCCTGCCTCCTTCTTTGCCTGTCCTGCACCACACTACTTGAAACTCCTCCATTTTTAACATGAAAATCCTCAAATCCGGTGTTTTGTTTTTCGAATAGTACCTTGTCATGGCGCTACCCTCCTTCAAAGCGGCGATGATCGGTCCCATCTCTTCGCCGAGTGCCGGCGCTGGGGCGTACGCATTTTCCACTGCAGCCATTTTCGTACAAAATGACTATTCTTCCATTAATTTGTACTAAAAGATGCCAGGTTAGCTGAGCATCCTGCTAAAAACAGCGCAATTTACGACCTGTTAACCATATTCGTACTTTCGTGGTTATTTATTCCGATCACGTGACAATATCAGTACTTGTCAGCGGTATTTCTGGAAAAATAAATCCTTCCTTGTTACCAGATTACTACCGGTGTCACAGTGATATGTGTATCACCGTGATATGTGTATCCCCGCACACATATCAATAGTGATATGTGTATCCCCCGTGGGGATACACAAAACACTGATACGCGCCTGGGCATTCAACGAACAAAAATATCACTAGTGATATGTGTGCGGGGATACACATATCACGGGGATACACATATCACTGTGACACCGGCCATTTAAGTGAAGAGAAGGAGCTGCTGTATGCGAATGTAACCAAGGTCCATGGGCAAATCGCTATCGGATATGAGGCTGATAGCAATAGCTGAACAGGCGAAATCTGCAGAGTCTATTGCACGGTTACCGGTCACCTCGCCACCAAGTTATTAACGATCTAATAACATTAAACTGAAGTTCGTTCTACTTTGTTTAATTGTGTAACTCACACTCGTTCAGCCGAAGCCTTTCTTGAAACACTTACGTAAGCTTAAATGCAAACGCAACAGCGAAGCAACCGAGCAATAACAGCGCAGTCAGTTCTCAAAGATATATACATGCAGTTGAATTCTAGAAAGCTATGGTTTCTCGCTAGACAACGGAGAACATCTTGTATCACGTCACCGACAACTCAACATGTTGACATCGAAATTTGGAAACAGCCAAGCTAACAAACCTACGAGTCCATTGACGTTGTAGTCGCTCGAACACCTAATGTACCTAATGGTGGCAAGGA